AATTTTTTTTTTGCGTTCCCTCGAGAAACTTTTGCATTCCCTCGCGAAAATTTTGCGTTCCCTTTTGCGTTCTCTTGCAAAGATATTTTGCGTTCCCTCGCATTTGCGTTCTCTCGCAAAACCATAAGTTTAAGTTTATTTCGAGCAAAATATATATATATATATCAATACACATATATCCATACATATACATTTATGTTACACATATCCCTACACATATTTACACATATAATACTTACTCGAAAGGGAGTGGAAAGAAGTAAAACTTATTTGCTCCCACCCCCAATTCATTCCCATATATTACACCATATGGTTGCTGCCATTGTCTGTTACTAATAATTTATGTGATATTATAATATTTATATACAAATACCCAAATACAATAGGACCGTCTCAATAATCACAATAATACATTATAATAATCCTCATTATCATAAACATTCTAATATGTCCCAGTATTTATAATAATCATGTAATATATAAAATATAACCATATCCTATTATATTGTTAAATCACAGTTTTATAATAACAATAATAATATTTATAATAAACATTAATATCTGCTCCTGTCATTATCATTATTATTATTTGCTCAGCTATGTAATCGTATCCCGTTCTGTTGTAATTATATCACCATTTATAGTATCAATATTAATAGTAAGAACAATTATGATCATCCCTACTACCGTTTTTTATACAATAACCATCACCCCATAATCACAATCCTTAGAACACCAAGATCCCTCCCTCAGCCTTATATTTTTTCAACACCATTTCTTTGTATCTTGATTTAAATAGGTAAATATTTGGGCATTGCTTGAGCTGTGTCCCCAAACCATTCCAAAGTTTGACACCACACACAGACACACACAAACTTTTCCTGGTGGTTCTCACCACCTGGACTTTAAGGTTCCCACATCCCCTCAGATTTGTTGTAGCCCTATGTCGTTAATGTCTCTTGAAGTAAGTGAAATGTGATTGGATGTCATTGTGTTGGTGTTTTTTTTATTTTTTTATCTCATTGATCCAGTAGCGTTCTCAGTTATATTTATCCAGCTCCTCCATGCTTCTTATGACCAAAACCTTAGCCGCCTCTGGCGTTCCGTTAAGTTTGATGAATATTTTGCAGTTAGTAACCCAAGTGTTTTGAATTTTGTTTTGCTTCCTCAGATACCTGGCTTTTCTGGCTATATCCGCATTCCTCTTGGTTAGGTGATCATTCATGAATACATTAGTGCCCTTCAATTTCTTTCCTTGTTTAAGCAGTGCGATCTTATTTTTTCTGTTCACAAACCTCAATAACACTGCTGGCATGTCGTTGTCTTTCCTCCTGGGGAGAGGGTGACATGCCTCGATGTTGTCCACATCAAGCGTAATCCCTCTGGACTCGAGAAAGGCCGCCACCTGTTGTTCCGCGGATGCTCACCTCCATCTCGCAGGGCTCACCCCCGTTGTCAGCGGTCACTGCGCGTGCGTAAGACCGGGGTTTGATCTTGAGCCCGGTAACGACCACGTCGTTAATTCTGGAGTAGGCCTAGTGCTCCAAATCCTCCACTCTCCGCTCCAGATCTGCTATCCTTTTATCCTTTTCTGCGTTTTGAATACGCAGTATCTTGACTTCCTCCAGCAGTTCCAGAAGTTGTTTCTGTTGAGTCTTTATTACCGTTACATCCCCCGCAAGAATGTCTAGTGACTTTCTAATTTCGTCCACCTCTTCCCACGCTGGATTTTTCTTCGGTGGCATGGTGATGGAAGAGAAAAAAGTTGAGTTGAGTTCGGACAAACACTTTTCCTGTTTACTTTACAGCTTGTAAGTTAGTGGTTCGTACAGCTCGTACGTTCATAATGGAGCGGTTCATAGAGTCTTATTTTAAACTTGTACTCAAGTTCAAATACAGTCAGCTTTGCTTATATAGTTAAAGGCACGGTTTGGGGACATTCTAAAACGGTTAATGTAGGCTATAGGAGGCCCAATTCGGTATTAGGCCTAATAAATACTATTAATACTAATAACAATTGTAATATTAATGACCTCATTAATAGCATTACTATCAGTACAGCAGATAGCCATAATGCAACGTTTCTCCCCCGTTTAAAACCGTTAGGCTATAGAACACGCTTAAGGGAGGCTAATGGACGAAGACGTATAGGCTCAAACCAAAATATGGTACAGTTTATTAATAAGATATAGCATATTATGCACAGGAAAGCAGACAAGCCCAGAATAGCTATAGACAAGCCAAAACCTAATTTAAAGCAAAACTGAATGTGGACTCACGTACCGCTCTCATTCAGCACAAATCCAAATGTTTCCATATTCGCAATGTATTTGAAACTAAACCATTATTTATTAAATTAACTGGGCTTTGTGACAAGGAAATAATAGTTCCAACGAAATCAGCAGAACTGGTGTGCGTCTCCAAGCAACAGCAGTGTTTCTTAGTGAATGAATCTGCTTTGAATGATTCGGAGAGTACTGATAATCGGAACTGATTAATAACCCTTTCATAACTACAACCATTTGCTTCGTTACTGAATGAATGAATGCTTCGCCTTGCTCATTAGACAGGGACTTGCCGCCACCTACTGGCGATTTTAGTTTTGAATCTACAAGTATAACTTCGTTTTGCCATCATTTATTGCTTTATTTATTATATTAATAATACACTTAATGAAATGTGAAGAATATGACATAAAACATGACATACAATTAATAAGGCTAGAAAAAAATTGCCCCTATAACAGTAAAAATGCACATGTAGCCTAAATCAATTTAAGGGGGCAAATATTGTCCCTTAATGGAAAAGGTGTGACTGCGGTCTAAGTGGGGGTACTCAGAAGAATGTTACTTTCCTTGTTATGTTTAAATGGTTGCTTCCATCAATCCATCGATGACTTCCATGCAAATAATCAGTTTGAAGTTCTTTCCATCCAGATAATTCTGATGTTGCTCCCATCATTATAAGACTGTGATCTTCTACCAGGAACATCAGGCCAATCTCCTGCTGACCTGAATCAGATGGGTTGTCTTCGTCCGGCATCTCAGCTGAGACCTGTCCACTATGGATGACCCTACCAGTAGTTGTGAAGTACCAGTGGCATAGCTCTCAGCATCACTGATGCACACAAGCCCTCACAGCACGTCAAGCTGCAAACCATGTGAGGGACCCTAACCTACCCTACTCAACTGTTTAAAACAACCGCATGTCAACCAGCCACTCAAAACATCCTAACAACCACGCAACAACATATGAAAAACCAAACAGAAGAGTCCAGCGATCGCAATACAACACGCTAACAACTGCGCAGAAAATCTTGGCAAATGCATGTCAACACACAAGAAACCACCAAACCAACCTGACAACCACATAACAATGTGCTAAAAAAATGCTTGGAACAACCTAGGAACCGTATATCAAAACACAATCACCAAAATCATCTTAAAAACCATACAGCAATGTGCTAAACCTTACTTTACAAAATAAAACGTACTCTACAAACCTAAAACTGAAACTTGCTCTACAAATGAAAAAAAGTGTGTGTGTGTGTGTGTGTGTGTGTGTGTGTGTGCGAGTGTAGCGG